CTTTTTGACCTTAGTTTTTTGGTAGTGCGAAAAAAAGTTATCGGAAAGCTATGTCAGAATCAAGAACTTGTGAGAAATTGCAATCGTCATCGTCCCACAAAAACTGTTTAATTCGAGACTTTGCATATTAGGGCCTTTCTTGTTCGGCGCTTATAGAAGCACTCTAAAATCTTCTCATTTAGAATAGGTAGACTCGGGAAGTATGGTCAGAAAACGAAAACATTGACCCAGATTTGTGGAGGCGCCCTCCGTTTCACATGTTGATGTTTATATTAATCTTTGCTCGAAATTTGTCACGATTTGGTAGCACATACTCCTTCGGCCTGCGAACCCATGGAAGTGTCGGTGTGAAACCGAAAACACAATAACCTATGCCTTTCTCCTCTAAGAGACGCTTTGAAAAACTTCCCGTATGCCTGGAAACGAGTACATCAATTCAGTTTTGAAAAGCGGACAATGGGCAAAAACTATCTGTAGAAAGAAGCTGTATAAAGTATTTCACCAGAGATGGATTTACTTCTTCGATTAATACAAGAGGTTCCCAAAAATTTGATTTTAAAAATTCGATTTAAAATTTCCAGATATGGTGCACTACCTACGATGTGTTTGGTCCTTGCTGCAACCGCTACCTTATTCTTTTTGCTGTAGAAAATGAGTTGGACTATCCTATTTTCTCGTCTCCCTTGTTAAGCGTGGGACAATGCATTCCGATGTTTGAATACCGCATCTTTTCAATCCGCTAGTTTACCAAGACGGGCAGCGCAGAGCTACGGCTTCCAATTCTACGACGAATACCTCCGTATTATATATGCCGAGTCTCCTTCTTGCTTAAGTGAAATTGTTCATACACCCTGGAGCCTCCACTGCGAAAGATTGGTTAGGCTGGTGTCAGAGTCCGCGATCCGTCGCAGGTTTCGCTGATTTTCGCGATTTGCGCGATTCACGCGACGGGTCACGGAAATCACAAGTGCCCGATCAATACTGCAAGGTGTTCTCCAATCCTGCCGCCTTCTGCTTGATAGTGATGGCTGAACGACTGCTCATGATTCCACTTGTTTCATATTCAGTGTTTCAAATGTTCAAATGGGGCACTTGGTTTGCGATCCGTCGCAGGTTTCGCGCAAATCGCGAAAATCGCGGACTCTGACGCCAGCCTTAGGCTGCTTTCATAGTTTGCGGTCCGTGCCGTCCGCGCGGACAGGGTGAAAAACGTCAACACGCGCTCTGGCGCACAATGCGTACTTGGCGCGCAGTCGGCGCCTCCCTCGATCGATAATGCTAATTTCGCCTTCCAGTTTATAAATGCGATTTCATCACATTCTATTTGTGTTTTCCTGGTGCTCCTTGTGCCGTGTTGCTTCTCGTGTTTTTTCGCGAGAACCTTTTCCTTTTTTGTGTGAATCACTGCTTTTCAACTGTCCTAGAATGGTTAGGTTCATACACTGTGTTTGAAAGTAGCAATAAACACCAAGTGGGTTCATTAGTGAGCAAAAGCAGTAATCCACACAAAAATCGACACAACCTTCCGTCGCAATTTGGAGTCC